CCTTCTGCTGTTTACTAGACCCCAGTTGGTGTTTCTAAGCACTAGAAATGCTTATATTCTTTTTTCTTTTACTCATCTCATGGAGAGGGTCTCCACCTTGCCCTGTTACTTGTGAAGCATCTACGGATTTTTGTCAGGGAGCCATAGTCAGTCACCAGCTTGTAAACTCCATGAAGCTCACTGGTGCTGTTCTCCCTTAAGAGATGCATACTTCTTTAACTCTTGCATGTTGCCTACCTCAAAATTATGTTAGTTACAGTAGTAACAAATACAGTGCGCAATTGAAAAGTGCAAACTGGAAAGATCAGGTAACGGTTAAACCTCAATACAGATCAGAGATTACAGATTGATTTACTTTTCTTTGTGGCCTCGAAAATACAGAGAACCAAACTGAAAGACACCCTCCAGAAGTAAGCTAGGTGGCAATGTCCCTCTCTTTCTGCAAGTAGCCTTATCCAGGATGGGGCAAGGATGGAATTCATTTGAAGTTTTAAGGTCATCTGTTCAGTGCCTCACTCTTTTTTTACCATCAGAGAGAATTGATGATGTATCAGCTTAATCTCCTCATAATTTTTTGTCCTGCCTCATCAGGCATAAAAGTTCCTAATTCTCTTGTATCTCCTCTTTGTGCATTTGAACACCATTATCACAACTCTTTCCTGTTTTGTATTCTCTGGACTAAGCAATTTCAATTCTGTCAACCTTTTTATGCTGTCTTTTCTAGTCCTTTGGCTATTCTTGCTGCTTCTGTCAACTTACCTATTGACCACAATCCTTGAATTGCTGTGCCCCAAATGAGATGGTATGAGCACCAAATACCATAAAAAATTACTTCAGGTATCTGACAGACAGAAAGGTGTTTTGTGTGTATTGCAATAGTGCAATGCCATGGACTCAAAAAATAGATCAGTGGAAAGAGGATGTTTTGATGTTTCTTTTATTGTTATCTCCATGACTAGGAGACCTGCTACCTACTCCTTTAAGAAAAGAGTAATTAAATCCAGCAGTCTTGGACTTCTGTAGCTGGGATCTTAAGGACCCATGTGCTTTTTTGAGGAAAAAAAATCACACGGTCTTTGATGTTAAAATCTCCAGCTCCTAAAGGCTATAGTACAATGCAGAACACCTTTCGTATGCAGCAGCTAAGATCACTTTCCACCTCTAGCATCCCTCTTTTTCTCAAGATGCTGTGCTCCTTTGTGTGTGGCCTCATCAGCTAATTAACAGTACTGATAACACGTTTGTGCCTTCTTTTTTGAACTGTAAATACATTACACAGCTCCTAAGATTTCTGGTGGCATTTCTGCAAGACATCGGTTTGGAACTTAGGGCAAACATTGCACAAATTGACGTAGTAAATCCTTGAGAATACATTAACTTCCGTAAATTAAACATAATCTCTGGAACTCAGGCTACATCAAAGAGGTTAAATTGTGTGTTTTACTATATGAGGAAATCAATGAAGTGATGAGTGAAGTAAACACAAAGGCTATGAGTAATTTCTGTATCCACTCTGTTCCAGTGTGTACTGGAGACAAAATACGATCATATATAACCACTCCCTTTAATGTCATCCCTATTATTTAAAAATACTTCCTGTTCCTTGAATCTCTTACAGAAAAGCTGCCAATTTTCAAGGCATATTTACCTAATGACGAGTGGCTTAGATAAGAGGTCTTGTCTGTCATATTTCATTTTGTGCAGCACCCTCAGATTAGATCTGTGGCTTTTTAACATGGTGTACTCATTGTCTTCATGCACAATGCATCTTAGTGAATAAACTGTATTAAAGAGATGCTGTGCATCCCAGGTACAAGAAAATGAATCTACATCATAATTATGATAGAAAAATTAGACTGAAGATGTGATTGTCTTTTGGATGTTAGCACTCTTTCTCTGGCACAAAGCAAATTTGACTGCAACAAGGAGGGAGCTGAAGAAACGAAAAGTGTTTGTGGTTGGTTGAAGGGATACAAAGTTAGGTAGCTATTTTACTATTTTATTTTTTCCCCCAGATGAGAATGGAGGTTTTCAAAATCTCTTGCCTGTGATAAGTTTGGGATTTTCTTTCCTGAAAGTACTAATTTTTAAAAGACCACTGACTGATGCAGTACTGATTTTCATGGAGACTCCAAAAATTCCTGAATTGTCTTCAATATAGCACACACATTTTTTAGAAGAAGGCAGAGTATAATTAACATTTGAATAAGCTGTTTTATAGTCTTCAGCATATTTTGTATTTATTTTCTAGTAGCTCTCCTAAAAGCAAAGCCATTTGGGATTTCTCTTTTTGGGCACTTCTTTTCATGTGCTTATTCAATATACTCATACAATTTTTCAGAGTGACAGATCTATTCAGGAAAACTACCTGTAGTTTAAACACTCCGTGGTTTAGTATTTCTGACCTGTAGGAACTATGTGGCAGGAAGACTGCCAGCAGTACATTTCTTCTTCAATAGGCAAGCTCCCATCTGCAGGTAGTTGCTCTCTCTGGTAAGTGCCGAAAAAAAAAAAGCAATACTCTGGTCCACAAGCTCCTCTTGAAATTAGAGAAGCAGTGGAGCTCACCTGTACTAAGCAGCTGAACCTATAGCTGGCTTGACCAGCTATGGCTGGGAGGCCAAAGAGACTGCCTCGAGACAGGGGTCTCGGTCAAAAAACTGTGGAAAATGTGTTTTTGTAATAGAATTACATAAGAAGGCACCTCAATAATACTTCACCTGGAAGGAACCCAGAAACTAGTACCCTCAGAATAGTAAATGTTATTTCAGGAGCAGTGTATTTTGGGTTGGGGGTGTGTGTATATATATATATGTATGTGATCTATTTAATTAAGCTTTGGGTTTGCTATTTTGAAGGGTTGTTTATTTCCCAGCATGGTAGTTCTTTATCTTTCATCCAGCTGAAGTGGTGTGTTAAAATGCAGTGATTTCTTTTCCTGGTAGATGGCGGTGGAATTCCTACATGAACTGGATGTTCCATTTTTCAAAGTAGGATCAGGAGATACAAACAATTTTCCATATTTGGAAAAGACTGCAAAGAAAGGTAAGCATTTTCTTTTGAGCTGTCTTGGTTAACATCACTGGGTCGCAGTCGATCAGTTATTAGATTCTTCCTCCAATTGATTTTGGAAAAAAAAATCTAAAGTACCTTTAGAAAAAAATCACCCTTAGGCTTGGAGAAAAAAGGTTCACCCAGCTTCCTTGTCTACTGAATTAATTTACTTCAAGAATTTATTTAATCTTGTGTAGCTTTCATACAGACCTAGGACAATACATGTGCATGTTTTCTAATGGCTAGGCCGCCCAATGGTGATTTCCAGTGGGATGCAGTCGATGAACACAATGCATCAGGTTTATCAGATTGTGAAGCCCATCAATCCAAACTTCTGCTTCCTGCAGTGCACCAGTGCATACCCGCTTCAGCCAGAGGATGTCAATCTCCGTGTTATATCGGTTAGTGAATAACCCAGAGTGTGCTGTGGGTAGGGTACCAGAGAAGGGTTATGCACATTTATTGAGATGCATTTCCAGGTCTTAGGCATGCTGGAATTTGATTCTGAGAAGTTAGAAGATGTATCATGTCCCTCTAATTCATGCAAGTGTTGAAGTAAAAATACTCATTGGATCCTCTTTTAGCAGAACTCAGCTTTGAGGAATATGACAAAAGATATTACTGGAGTATTCACAATTAAACAGAGGAAAATATGACATATGGTTAACAGGTTAACCCTGTACTTTGCAGTGCAAAGAAGAATGATGTAGACTGTTATCATTAAGAAGGTGCATTGAATTGAGAACGTAATTCCAAATAGGGGGCTAGACCAGAAGCTTTTGTTAAAAATGCTTCACGTGAATATCGGAGCAATGAAGGTGCTTGTATAGTTTAGGTCCTTGAATTAGGTCCTTGTATAGTTTCCTTCACTGAAAGTATTACATGGATTTGCCTGATAATGATGCAAGAAAATTTTCCCAAATTGGACAGTATTCAAGCACTTGCCTAGCTTTATGCACATGTACGTTATTTTTAGTATAACTGGACATGGCTGCATTTAATTGCCTTTAGGATTGGGTGACTGTCCTCTGTGTATGGCTGAAAGAATTGCTTCAAGATTTTAAATACGGGGTTGAAGAAATCTGCTCTGGATACAGGTTAAGTTTAACCACAGTCTGTTGGGATCTTGGATTAAAAATAGAGCACTGTTCTATTACTGTACCTTGCAGTGATGTAAGTTTTGAAGACCTTGAAGAGTACAATTAAATTAAAAGGAAAAGCATAAGAGAAGTTGTAGAATAGAACATACCTCCTTTTCCTTGTCAGTATTGATAATCCCTAGTGAAATTCTTAAAACATGACGGTCAGTAATGCAGTGTGACTTTCAATATAAAAAAAATTCTCAGCATAACCAGCTGCTTGTTTTGTGGCCCAGTAATTGTCTGTGTTTTTTACTGCAATTATCACTGTTAAATTTGCTTTGTTTGTAACTTTGAAGTTTCTACCTTGGTAATTCAGACCAAGTCTGTTATGATTCAAGGCCTACCAGTCAGCTTTTCCTGACATACCCATTGGCTATTCGGGGCATGAAACTGGCATAGCCATTTCAGTGGCAGCTGTTGCCATGGGTGCTAAAGTAGTGGAACGCCATGTGACTCTCGACAAAACATGGAAAGGAAGTGATCACCAAGCATCCCTGGAGCCAAATGAACTGGCAGAGTTAGTGAAAGCCATCCGTACTGTGGAAAAAGCAATGGGTTCTCCAGTCAAGCAACTCTTGCCCTGTGAAATGGCATGCAATGAAAAGGTAACTTTTGCTTTTGATTGATGTGTAGCTGAAACTCATTTAGGCCTATAGCTAGTAACTCTAGATTCAGAAAAACAGCTTGCTGATTGTTTATTGCAGCCGTGTTTCTGCTTCTGCACTCAAAAATACCTGCTGCTAAGTAGCAGCATGCACAGTGTTTACGCTTAGCACACTGTAACATTAGTGTAGACCTGTCACTTTCTATAAACTGCTATTTCTGGCAGTCAGTAACAATTTTTGCTAAAGCATAATGTTGGCAGTTTTGAGTATAATTGAGTTCTATGTATAATCATCCAATGGTCAACTAAGTTAAGTAGAACCATAGAATCATTTAGGTTGGAAAAGACCTGTAGGATCATGTCATCCAACCATTAGCCTAACACTGCCAAGTCCACCACTGAACCTTGTCCCTAAGTGTCATGTCTACGCATCTTTTAAATACCTCCAGGGATGGTGACTCAGCCACTTCCCTAGGCAAACTGCTCCAATGCTTGATAACTCTTTCAGTGAAGAATTATTTCCTAATATCCAATGTAAACCTCCCCTGACACAACTTGAGGCCATTTCCTCTCTTCCTATTACTCTTTACTTGGGAAAAGACACCAACACCCACCTCACTACAACCTGCTTTCAGGCATTTGTTAGAGAGGAATAAGGTCTCCTCAATGTATTTCTTGCAGTGAGGGGCCCAAAACTGAACACAGTATTGGAGTTGTGGCGTCACCAGTGCGGAGTACAAAGTACTTGGTAATGGTAACAGGAGTAATAGGTCTCTATGATTGTATACAAGCTGCTTTTACATTAAGCTAGAATACTAGTCAGTCTAATCAGAGTCCCTTCATTCCAATTCTGAAAAGTTTCCAGTATGCCATTATCTGATTTAAGAAGGGATCTAGGTGTTCCCAGCAGCCTAGTTACAGTGAAGGTTTCTATGCTAACTCAACCTTCATTTGGAATAAGAAGTAGTGGGGAGGGCAGTTCCACACAATCTGTTCCCAAGTAACTGCAGAATACTTTTTAGCCTGTATGTTAAACCTAGGGATGTGTTTGACTTTTTTTTTTTTTTTTTTTTTTTATTTTACTCCTGTAGCTGGGAAAGTCTGTTGTGGCGAAAGTGACAATTCCTGAAGGTGCAGTACTGACACTTGACATGCTGACAGTGAAGGTGGGAGAGCCTAAGGGATTTCCCCCAGAAGCCATCTTCGATCTGGTGGGCCAGAAGGTTAACAAAAAAATTGAAGAAGATGAAACCATCACTGAACAAGCAGTGGAAAATCATGTCAAAAAAGTGAAGTGCTAAACCAAAGCACTCCATTCCACATTTCATGATGTAGTACTACACTGCATAACATATTTAAGTATAGCAGCATGGTAGGTTAGAAGAAAGGGGTGTAATTATGGGGATCCAAGCAGGTTAGAATTTTCAGGTTCTCATTAGCAAGAAGTTTGTGCAGCAACTGAGTATAAATTATGAAGATCAACTTTATTAGAAACCATATAGCATTGTGTCTAGAAAATACCATGGTCCTCCTTTCTCCATTTCACTTAACCTAAATCGATTTGGAGTTTTATCAAATCTAAGACCACAGTCTGCTGCTTTCCAGCTTCCCTTTTATGGTAAGAATACACTAAATCACAATAATTTTGTCTACACTTTGAATTGTTCTAACACCGTATCTTTTGATGTCACTCTCTTTTCTGCCGTTTTCTTCACCCCTGTGATAACAGGATGCTTGTTGGAGTTGCATGCAGACAAGTGAAAGTTTACATACACTGAGCAGAAAACTACACATGCAGCCTGATGGATTTTTCTCAAGATGAAAGCTTTAAGATAGAAAGTAAGTCTCAAGATAAAGCAGTGGGTTGCAGGAATCTGCATTCTGGGGAAAATGAGCTCCTTGAGGAAGCTAGGTTCACAAGAGACAGTACCAAGAAAGGAAGCAAATTGGCTATGTAGAAAGGTCCCATTTGCCCTTAAGGGGCAAAAGAAAGAGTCTTTTTGTACTGTTTGTGAACTGAAAGGCAAGAGGGCAAGCCAAACAGATTAATGGGGGGCAGAAATATATCTGAGATGGACCAGTGGAAATAAACTTACCCTAAGCTTCCAAAAAAGGTCAAAAGCATCTGTTGTGAGCTGAGTGAAGCCTGGAATATTAAAGCAATTCTGCAGTGTATTTGGATACCTCTATTTGTATGTGGGGGGCAACTTCTCAGGTGGGAAGCCAAATGCTGGTGAAGATTCAGCAGGCTCCTTCCTTTGCTTCTACTAAGCAAATACACTGGGTTGGGAATTTTTTCCCCGACACTGGTGTTTTGAGACAGCTGAGGCTGGCTGCTTAGCTAGGTCACATCACTATGCTTCAGCGTAATGGTCAGTGCTCCTCTGGTGTGCTCTGCTTTTGCATCACAGCTTCTCACTTTCCAAGTAAGAAATGCAATCCCACTCGTATCAGCATGCTGCTCTTCTCTTTGTCCAGGAAGGACCATATGGCAGCAGCTGCAAACAGGGCATCCCTCAATTAGCTTGGGTAGCACAGAACTGCTTTGGTATAATTAATCTGCATTTTTCTATCATGGAATAATTTACTAATGATGGTTACATGGAATTTGCTACCTCTTAGTTGTGAGTTGGTGAAGTATCTTGAATTTGCTTGTGTTTCTGTGCTTGTGAACTGTTTACTTTCAAAATGTTTACCTTTCTGCAATTCTGAGGAAACTATTTGTACCTTTAAATGGGGAAGGAGAGATTATTTGAATCATGCTTGACTGTATGTGAGCTCTGATTGATGCAATATGCTTGCCTTACATTAGTAAACTACTCAAAGTTGGGGATTTTTTTTAATTCAAATTTGAAAATTAAACCTAGCTTGTAAAACTACGTATTGTTTTTGCATTTCAGCCTATGGTGAGGCCTTGACAGTACTGATGGTGATTCCAGGGTCTTTAGTATTTGAACCCCATAAGATTACCCAACCTGCTTTAAGTAGCAGTGGTTCTTCATTCCAGCAAGGCTGGTCCTAGAGGCTGCTGTAAACATAAGCTCAAAAAATTTCCAGGACTTTTATTTTTTTCCCAATACAATTAATTAATTATCCCTATACAGAAACATGCAAGCTGTCTCTCCTAGTTTTATGTGAGTATACCTTTATCCAGCAGCAGTAAAGAGCCTTGGCAAATAAATAGGACACAAAAATAAATTAAGCACCTAGTGTTTTTATTGCAGCTGTGAGTCCTCCATGCATTTCGTCTTCTGTTGGGGGTAATACACAGCTGTTTGTTATGCTTCCACTCTGTGCGAGAACAGGGCCACCCAGAAGCCCAGTTCAGTCTCTGTCACAAGTAAGACCAGCCAATGGCTATTAAGCGTGGCTACAGAAGCTCCTACTTCAGCTTTACTTATAGAATCATAGACTCGCTTTGGTTGGAAAAGACCTTTAAGATCATCAAATCCAACCTTTAACCTAACCCTGCCATCCCACCACTAAACCATGTGCCTAAGCACCTCATCTATCCTTCTTTTAAATGCCTCCAGGGATGGGGACTCGACCACCTCCCTGGGCAACCCATTCCAGAGTCTGAAACCCCTTTCTGGGAAGAAGTTTTTCCTAATGTCTGGCCTAAACTTCCCCTGGCACAACTTCAGACTGTTCCCCCTCATCCTATCATCCATCACCAGGGAGAAGAGGCCGAAGGGATTTTTCCAACAGTCAGTGCCAGTCTTCAATTTTTCTGAGGTGATACTTAAGTAATTCACTTAGTGCATTCATTATGCAAATCTGACCTTGTCAACTATAACACTATGCAACATATGAGCTTGAAGTTTGAAGCAAACTAAACCTTTTACCATGTACAATTGCAGCCTCTCCAGGTAGATGAGGGGAAGGAAGTTCTTTAAAAAAGATGGCAATATCCAGGTTCAAATCTGAGTTGTAGTAGGTTTTTTTCAGTCAGACTTTTTCCATTTTGCAAGTTGAAAAAAAGTACGAAAAATACTACACATGACACTTTAGGTGGTATATCAACATCATTTATAAAAGCCAGATCACCTTCCCCCACTGAAAAAATGCATATAGATTAAAAATCACAGTTGGTTTTCTTGAACTTAACTGGTACCTTCTCAAATTAGCATCACAGTTACATATTTCATATGAGAGAGATTAATTCATGTAGATCGTTGCTAAAGCGGCTTTCACAGAAAAAGCATGAAATAGTAGCCTTTATTTTGTTTCATTCCTATGTTAGTTTGCATATTCCAATGGACCCTTCCCAGAGCCTCAAGGCTGGGTAAACTGGTTCTGTGAACTTGCAGCGGAAGGTGTGCAAATGAGCCATGCCATCAGTAACATTGTAGAATGAAAGGATTCCTGCTTCATAATCCAGAAAAATGCCAATGCGATCCGGATCATCTTCTATCAAGATGGGGATTCTTTCCCCCTTGTGAAATGCCCAGTATTCAAAATCAAACTTCTTAAGGCACCAAGATGCTCTGTTCCAGCCCAGTCGAGAGGTTTCAGAGTCTCCTTTCCTGCCAATGGAAGGGTAGGCTGCACCAATCCACCATCCTGCTCCAGCATGAAGCAGGTCAACTTCCCAGTAATGGCTTCCAGAGAGGAATGCATCTCTGCTTAAAACTTGCCATAATTTATCAAATCTCTGGGGACCACAAGGGTAAAATATCCTCCTCCAGTTGCAGCTTACTACAAGACGATCATCAGACAATTTCAGCCTTGGGTGAAGGCTGTCATATTCCCAGGTTGGTGATCTTGCATCTGCAGTAAACCATAAACATACTACATTTATCATGACTCTTGAAAGAAGTCCAAGTTGTAAAAAAACCTGCAAAGAAGCCCACAGCTGGCAGTGTCTTGGAACCTGCCATTTTGCAAGGAAAAACCTGACATTTTTAATAGAAAGCACTGCACTATTTATATGCACCGGTGCTTTAAAGTACCATAGGCTTTAAAGCAGGTCACTGTGTATGTCAGTATATGCATGGTTCACAAATGAGAAGATGAATACTGCCAGATGTGGAACAAATACTGTGAGCTTCTGCTTTATGCAGAACAGTTGGACACTTCTGGTGGGGTTACAACCTAAGGGTTTTAGAGAACACTGGAGTTCTCACTCTTGGTTTGTGAGATACCATTCCCCTGAAATCCCATTTGAAGATGCAGTAGGAGTCTGTTGCTCAATAGAGGCACCGCAGCTCTGAGCAGCAGCATCGTGTACACTGGCAAATGAGCCAACCTACCAGCTCCCAGAGGATTTAGCATGGTTCACCTAACCTGACATTTAGAAAAGAAAAATCACAGTCTGGAACTACACCCTAGAAAACACTGTCTTACTCAGTGACAGCTTAGAATATTTTTACCATGAAGCAGCTGTCACAGGACCAGAAATCACAAAGCCAGGGAAAAAAAAAGTTAAATTAAAAAAAGTTTGAAATGACACACAGGACAGGTCGAAAAGCTACAGGATTTTTAAGATGGGATTTTCCTCTGAAAATACTGTCCTAAAACTTCAGTACTGAATTGCTGTGTGTCTCACAAAAGTTTTCATAATATACTCCATCTCAGTTAATTCACTGTGTTAGCATGTGTTTTCTGATTTCAAGTTCTAGAAATAACCAAGATGCTCCCTCTGAAAACAGGATC